TTTTTTTTTTTTTTTGAAAAATAAACCAAAATTTTTTTACCGAGAACAAAATATAAACATCATACAAAATTCTTTTTTAATCATTTTATTTTATCAATTTCTCTCTCTACCTCTCCCCTTTTATACATCCCTCGAACATTATATTTGGTAAATTATTTGTCTCTAGTTCTATCTCCCTGTCGTTTGTCTTTACTTCATTTTTAGTCAACGTCGACATATGCAATTAATTGTTAAAGTCGTGGTTTAAGATTAGCACGCTTCAGGGTTTCAGCCATATAGCAAATAATAATATTAATAATAATAATAATAATAATAATAATAATAATAATAATAATGGATGTTGGTATAATAGCTCCTTAATAGAATGTTTAACCGATCCATTCTGGATCGACCGAATTGGTACAAAAGTTGTCACATAGGGTGATTATAGTGTTTTCAAAATCAGTAAACTTTATGTGAATCATATTAGTATCAATATGTTTTGGGAATTGATATGCACATAGTATAAATGCAGTTTAGTTTATAATCATATGCATGTATTGTGAGTAGACTGTTAGCGTTATTTATGCATAATTAAGCCGTTATTTTTCCATTTCAAAATTAATACACTACATATGACCTAATTGACTTAATTAAATTGTGGTTATATGAAGTTAAAACGTAACATTGAATAACTATTGCTATTTATTATTCTCCTTTATGTTACTATTAATTATTAATCTAAAAAATTACTTCAGTGAAATATCATGATATGGTTCATGATAGTTAGAGGAGCTGGATAGCTTTATTATTTTGAGAAACTCGTTTAAATCATGTTTTTTTGCTTTTAATTTTAATTTAATTTGTGTTTCCCTTTAACAATATACTTATAATTGTTATTATTATTATTATTATTATTGTCATAATAATTATATGTAATTATTATTACTATTGTCATTATTATTGTTATGACAAAAGAACATGGAGACATTTCCAACTAAAAACAACCAAAAGGTAGGGTCTGAGTGAGGAGGGGGAAAAAAAAAAGGGACAAGTAGAGAGTTTCTATGCCTACCCTACCAGTAAATGCATTTATGTTAAACATTGCACAGAAATCAGAACTAAAGAGCATTTTTCAGATAAAAGTAGTTTTTCAAAAATATAAATTATATTCTCAAAGATTTTAAAACGAAGACTTTTGTGGCGGATCATAGTACGAGTAGTATTGAACATTTCTAGCATTAAAATCATAAAATAAACGAACGATCTACAAATGATATTAAGGAACAAATATATATAAGTTTTATTGATCAACAATAATTGATGTATCATAGAACAATCAAGAACATTTGTTTAGCTTCTATCATCAAAGGAACCCTTGTCCAGAAAAAAAAAAAAAAAAAAAAATTTCAAACAATAAAAAAGACTTTATCAACAATAAAAACCAAAAAAAAAAAAAAAACACTTGTCTAGCCTTTTTTTTTTTTTTTGTTTTGGAAAAAGTACTCTTTTGCCAATTTTTTTCCCTAAAATTAAAAAAAGAATTTTTTTTTAGAAAGTCCTCTCGTGCCAAGTTGCAAGTCTGAGAGGGGACTGGCACTACCACTATGCCACTCGGCTCCCACACCGTCAGCGACTTTGAAAAGTTTACATCCAAGCCTCCGACTGAACCTGACCACATTCCCGTCAATGTTCAACTCTATGGGGTCCACACAAAAAAAGAAATATTTGTTCAAAGTCGGAGGCATTGACCCGGAATCAGTGGGCCCCACACTACAGAAAAATTAAAAAAATAATTGAAAAAAAAAAAACCATAACTAGAACGCCCAGACTTGAAGCTACAGCTACTCCTACCCTTTTTCACGCTTTTTTTTTTTTTTTTCATCTTTGCTACTTTTGACTTTCCTTATTATGCACACGTGGATCATAGACTTCCTAAATTTCAACCCGCTTATTAATGGATCCTCCCACCTGTCATAAACCCAAACTGCGTTTTGCTACAAAAAGTCCAATATTTTACTATTTTAGAGTTCTGCAGTCTAGATTTTGCGTTAAAAAAACAAAAAAAATATAAGAAAAATCGTTGGCCATATCTAATAATACATAAATATCAGGATTAGCAAAAAAAAAAAAATTAAATAATAATATATAAATATGGGGCAACAAAACAGCTCACGTCATAATAAAGAACTTTCTGTGGTGTTTTTTTTCTTTTAAAAATATTAATATTTCACAATCGCTAGATTTATATTAAAATTTATCCATTTTACGTAATTTTTTAATTTAATATAATTTTAATTAAATTTAATAATTAAAAATATAAAAAATACTGATATTTTTAAAAGGAGAACACGAGAGAAATTCTCTCGTAATAAAAAGAATTTGCTTTCCCAATATCCTATTCTATTGGCGAGACTTTCTCCTTTTGCGAGGAATCTCATAAAAGGGGTGGTGATTAATTCGAGGGAAGTACTGAGATCAAAAAGCTACTCTGGAGGCATTGAATCTGGATGGAATTATGGCTCTATTCTCGTTCTTCTTTGCTGTATGTATAATTACGGGGAAGATAAATATTAATTTCCTAGATTTTGTGTCGTAATTGTGTTTTCGTTTTTTCCCCCTCAAAAAAATACGAGGACCATCGAGTGTGCGCAGAGGAAAAGCGAAGGTTGTAAGTGATTCTGAGTTCTGCAACTTTTAGAATACATATACATAAAATATATAAAATATCTGTTTCTTTTCAATATATCCCTATTTAGAACTTACAATATATATATATATATTTTTTTTATGTTGTGTTAATCTTAAAATATCATGCAGAGGTTTGGAACTTTCAAGAGCTCCCACTATCGACGGCTTTGATGAGGAGCACATGAACAAGGAGGTGAGAGAGAGCCAAAGCTCCACTTCCCTATAATTTTGACTTTATTCTTTTGTGCATGTTTGAAAAGACCATTTACCAGATAAAGAAAAAATCCCCCAAAAAAAAAAAAATCCCTGGGTTTCTATTCATATATGTATATATATCTGTTTTGTGGTAATATTGTATTTCTTTTTTTATTATTGTATATGATGTTATTCCCTGGCATGTTTAATCTACTGTTTCTTGAGCAATGTGGATGGAACTGCGTTTTACAACAGATTAATGCTCATCATGTTAAGTGATTAAAGCAATTAATAGAATATTTTTGCTGTTTGTTAATTGATTGGAATATTGGTCAAGTTGGATTTCAAGGCATTCCAAGAGGGAAGAATATATGCGACTTAACGTTCTTTGAACTGTATACAAGAAAGTTCAGAATTTGTTTCTTTTTGTGTGTTTCTTTATATAAATCCTTTTCGGGAATAATATGACAAAGTGTATTTTAAGCGTCTATAAAGGTCTCGGATGCTCTTTCTTTCTGGATGATGATGATGATGAGTGTGAAAAGAGTCAGCAACAAAAATCGAATTTTGAAGTCCCAAAAAGGTGTGTGTGTCATGAGAAGAAATACACAAACACTTCGATATTTATGGTTGCTATTGTTCAGCGTATTTCACAAGGCGTTGTTTAGGTTGACCGTGACAGTGGTACCAATATCCACGGCCTAACTCTATTAAGTAAACTTTCTTTGTCGTTTTGTCAACACTCTTGGTCGTTTTAGTCGCTTTGTGGCCCTCACTGTCGCTTGGGAATCCCCTATTTAGTCGTAGGCTTAGGTGAAATAAGCGTTTTTGGTCCTCTAATTAAAAGTGAGAGAATAATTTGGAGGGTCTTCGTCAAAGTGGGGACATTAGCAAAGACTTTAGATCACTTGATTCTTTTTTTTTTTTCTTTTTTTGTAATATTAAATATTAATAGAAAAAACTAAAAACTTTCGACCACTCACTGGTTGTGATCTAATTGGATGCGGAAAAATCAAAACAAAAAAAGAATTACTAATAATCTAAAAGTGGAAGAAAAGGGAAAGATAAGAGATCAGGTGCCCATATTTTTATGTATACGCCTCTGGTTCTCTTAATGCCAACTGTACTCTGAAGCCAACAGCATCTGTATTTTAATCACCTAAACATCACAATTATGATAGAGAGATGAGCGAGATTTGTGTCTTACTAGCTAGCATTTTTTTTAATTCAAATATAGAAGTCTATTTTCTATAATTTTTATTTTATTTTATCATGTTTTCAAATTCAAAATTTTATATTTATTTAGATTTCTACTTGAATTAGGATTCCTACGTATAAATAAGGCTCTATTACCTTTCTAATTCAACTATCTCATTATTATTATATTTTAAGAGTATTTCTTCTAAAGTTCATCTTTATTTACTCTCCGTTTGCGTTATTGCTTACATCAATTATCAGAGGTTTGAATAATCCAACGTCGGCCGGCTTGTGATTGAAAAATCTTTGGCTTTTCACTACTTGTGTTTTTGGGGCGTGTGAATGTGCCATGTAAGAGAATCCAGATTCATTCATTACCTATATATACTTGTGCTCTAAAAGCTTATTATTAAGTTTTTCGGCCTGAAATGTTTGACTACAAACTTTTTTTAGTTTAACATTTAAGCTTATTTAAGGCTGAGTTTCTTAACTCCTCTTTGGCGCAGATCGGTTCTAATAATCATTATAGCATCATACACCAATTCCCCTTCAATATTGAGTGGTTAGTTTCGTTTTCCTCAACTATTTGACTAGTTGAAAATTTTCACTATAGTTTCAGATTCCATAGGGACATTTATGCACTTCCTATGCATGTTTCACAAAATGCCACTATAAAAGCCACATGAAGTTGGCTGTTATATGAACCCTCCCTAGCATATATATGTACTTTTGCACGTAAAAGAATCATTAGTACTATAATCTTTTTCTGATCTACAATATAAATAAATTTTGTTATCAGAACTTCAGGTGAAATTATACATTCATGACATCAAGTACAGTTCATTCAGCTAGTGATCAGGCCCTGGAGAAGAGCGGAGAGATGGACACGCCCCCGGGCAGCGAGCGATACATGCACAAAGTTTCTGTTCCCCCTAAGCAAAATCTCTTGAAGGAGTTCACTGCTACTGTGAAAGAAACTTTCTTTGCTGATGATCCTCTCCGTCCATTCAAGGACCAGTCCAAGTCGCGGAAGCTCATCCTCGGAATCCAGGCCATTTTCCCCATACTCGAATGGTCAAGAAGCTACAGTCTTAAGAAATTTAGAGGAGATCTAATTGCTGGACTCACTATTGCAAGTCTCTGTATTCCTCAGGTAGATATATTATAATTAGTACTATAGCTGTTTATCCATGTTATTCACGCTTTTTTTCAAATGTTGACCAATTCCTTTTTTAACACTCTAAACAGGATATTGGGTACGCTAAACTTGCAAATTTGGCTCCACAATATGGTTTATGTAAGTTTTCTTTTATAGTACTTAACAAAAAATCTACACCTCTTGTTGCCTGTGATTGTGTTGGTTAATTAATTTTTGTTCTGAACCCTTTAATTTTCAGACTCTAGCTTTGTTCCACCGCTGATCTACGCTTGCATGGGAAGCTCAAGAGATATAGCCATAGGACCAGTTGCCGTGGTATCTCTATTGCTAGGCACACTGCTTCAGAATGAAGTCGATCACACTACAAACCCAACTGAATACTTGAGGCTCGCCTTTACAGCAACTTTCTTCGCCGGGATCACGCAGGCCACCCTTGGGATTTTAAGGTCACTATAATATTTGAATGCTCTAAAGCTGATATAGTTAACTTACATAGTATGAAAAAAGAAAAAAAATATATATATATATATATATATATA